TAACTCTGAGCTGAAGAAGATTTCAGACCAGATCATCCCAAAGCAGAGAGCGGCACAGTTTGATGTGGTGAAGCACATGCGACAGGACCAGATCACCAATGGCCTGGTTAACGCCATCTCCACCGTGAGTTCCTTCACTGTGTCATGCAGCAAAGCACTGCCTGACAAGGATCAGACTGTTCTTTTGGATTTGGTGACAGATCCCTGGAGCCCTGCAGGACACATGGGGTCAGCACACGACAAGCATCACAAGCAGTCTTAAAGGCAAACAATTTGGGGTGTGTTCCTATAAGGGGAAACGGACCACTTACAGTGGTTATTGACAGATGCTATCAGCAGTGGCATGGCCCTGTGGAGGAAACATCAGTTATCATACTTCCAGACTCCATTTACCTCCACAGAAAGCCATACCTCTTAGGGAATCATTTAAGTAAATGGAAATACTAGCATAATCTCATAATGAAGATTCAGGGTGACTGATTTATGGGTTTTAAATAGATCTTAATTGACGTTGGACCATAATGGACAGCATTATATATGTACATACATATAGCCTGACACTTTCCATTTCTGCTTTTTTTTTGTTGTTGTTTCGGCAGGGTAACTGGTCGCTGAAGAGGTTCAAGATGGATCGTCAGGGAGTTACCCAGGTGCTGTCGCGGTTGTCCTACATCTCGGCGCTGGGCATGATGACCAGGATCTCCTCGCAGTTTGAGAAGACCAGGAAGGTCAGCGGCCCTCGCTCCCTGCAGCCATCGCAGTGGGGGATGCTGTGTCCCTCGGACACCCCTGAAGGAGAGGTAACGACCTCAAAGGGCCGCAGCAAATGAAAATGATTAAAGGACGAATGTTTAATCTTGACAACTGCTTGCCTGTTTCTGGATTTGCATTCAAGTAGTTAAATGGTTGTGGTGGACTATTGAGGAATGATGCTCTTCTCTACCCCTTTCAAGAAGACATAAACATAGATAATGTGCATATCTTTTAAGTGAAATGGTAACTGTTAAGTAACCATCAGTTATTTTCTGGTTCTTAGGCCTGCGGTCTGGTTAAAAACCTGGCCTTGATGACGCACATCACAACAGACATGGAAGATGGGCCAATTATCAAATTAGCCTTTAACCTCGGAGTGGAAGATGTAAACCTGCTGTGTGGAGAAGAACTGTCTTACCCCAGTGTGTTCCTAGTCTTCCTCAATGGTAATGTCCATTGACCAGATCATGTTTATTACACATCTCTTAATGAGTCCCACTGTAAAGCATTAATGGAGCTTGAAGAAGAAAATTATCTAGCCGGTCTTCAAGGAAAAGCTGTAAACTATTCACTGTTCCTAAATGAAAGATCGCACAGCCCAGATTAGAATAGTTCTGATTTAGGCAGCAAAAATATTTTCAAGTGCTGTTATATTAACTGAGAGCTGTTAACTCTCTTCAAAGCACTTAATGTTTAACATACAGTATGTCTGTTATTTGGCAAAGCTATACTAAAAACCTAAAAATGATTCATGGGCAAGGTAAGGTGTGTTCCACAAAATCACATGTGTGTGTCCATTTTAAAGACAAGTGAGTCGCACCAGGTTTTACTAAGTGATTTTGAAGTGGTAAAATTAAAAAAAATGTTTTACTCTTAAAATCGGTTTAGTAGATTTATTTTTACCCCTTATTTTGAAAATTGAATCAGTGCTTTGAAGATGTTAATTGAGAAACTGTGCACTAGGTGTAGATGTGTCAGACCTGCTTTTCAGTATCTGCCAAGCTTCACACTGATCTTTCCTTGTCCTTAAATTCCCACATTTAGACCATGAGACTGCCAATTGGAACAAATGTTTTTTGGTTGACTCTCAGGGATATTTTTTCTTAGCTTAAACTTTTTCCATTGGTATTTGGTATTTTTTTTTTGTTCACCTTCATTTAAACGTTGCCTGCTAACATCTGTTTGCTGTCTCTTTTTGTCGATTTATTCATTCTAGTTAAGTGAGATATAACATCAACCACTTTGTTCCTTGTAGAGAAAATAAAAAATCAGCATTTTGGGGAAAATCCCCTTAGTTGTACAAATTATTGTTAAGGAATGTGTTTTGGATCCTTATAGATTAATGCAAACCACAAAACCTTTTTGTTGGCAATTGTAAGTGGTAAGATTTTGTTTCACTTTTTCCAAAGTTGGTACTTTTCAACAACCAGATCTCCCTGTTATAGGTAACATCCTGGGAGTAATCAGAGATCACCAGAAGCTGGTGAATACCTTCCGCTTGATGAGGCGTGCTGGGTTCATTAACGAGTTCGTGTCCATCTCCACAAACCTGACTGACCGTTGCGTCTACATCTCTTCCGACGGGGGGCGGCTGTGCAGGTGAGGACAGCCGAGGAGAGGGACTGGTTCAGGAATCTTTGCGCCCTCTGCTGCTCAGGAGATCGGAAGACCCCAGAGAATCTGACCGAAAAGGCAGTTTCTCAGTAAACTAGGAGACGAAAATTCCAGTTGATGCAACTTCTCCACTGTAAAGGCACATCTGAAGAAACGTTACTGCTGTTTTGTTTTTGTGGCCGCGTGCCTCGTTGGGTAAGAGCAGGCCCTTTCTCTCCTGCTTTGTGTAAACAGTCCTCAGGGCGTTAAAGGAAGACTGTCCCTTTCAGGATGGGTGCATTGTCCCCCATAATGAGTGATGCACGTTTCCGTAGCAAGTTGACAAGATTCGGTTTCCAATTATTCCTGCGCAGGGCATTGTTCAGGTGTGCAGCCAGAGCTGTTAAGAGGTGCTCATTAGTCCCTGAACAATCAGCCGGACTTGCTCGGCTCGGGGCGGCCAAGTGTCGTGTGTTTGTTCCCTGCAATCTCCCCGAGCTGCTCTTGATGTCTGCTTCCTGCATGCCGCCCTTTGTGATCCCGTTTCCTCTTGGGGACAGTAAGTGGTGCGTGCTGGGATGCGGGATCACCATGATAATGGGGCGAGAACGCCCTCCCCTCCCCTCCCCTCCCCTCCACGTTGGCCGTTCGTGTTCCGAAGTTTCCAACAACCAACGGGTTGTTGGCGTTTATCTGGCTGACCCTTTTGCCCAGACTGGCTGGCGTTTGTACTCGCTCATGCAGCTGGAGGTGTTTACTGGAGTGATACCGAGTGAAGCACTTCAGCTAAGGATACAGCACCTGGGGTTTGAACCTGCAACCTGCCAGATAGGGTCCCGGGCCCTGCCCACTAGTCCCACGCAGGGCAGCGCCCCCCACTATACCTGATCACTAGGGAAGGGTTAGCTGAAGGGCATTTCACACAACGCTTGTTCGTTTTTTAACAGCTGGTTCAGACTGTACTTGATCTGGTGTGCGCTGTATCTCCATCGTCTCATTCTTTTTTGTGTGTTTTGCCCTTACCAGGCCCTACATCATTGTGAAGAAAGGAATGCCTGCTGTGAAAAACAAACACATCGAAGAGCTAGCCCAAGGATACAGGTAGAAACCCATTCACGCTTCCTCAGACGTTGAAAAGGCTCTCCTGATGCACTCAGTTTGTATCCTTTTATTGTTTTTTGCTTGTTCCATTATCAATGGCTATTTTAGCACCAGAAAACATGAGTGTAATAACATTGTATTTGACGGATAATATACTATACCTTACAGAATGTGATTTTCTGTTGGTATACTGTTGATATTGAACATGAGTGTAATTTGCTTTGTTTCAATGTTACAACACCTCTCATTTCTTCCTGGAAGTTGTTGTGCTAATTGAATAGTATACAACACACCTTTAAAAACTGAAACAAATTATGTTCAATATAACCTCGTATTTTAAAGTCAACATTTTTGTGGGTTGTCAAACAGGAATTTTGAAGACTTTCTTCACGAGAGCTTGGTGGAGTATCTTGATGTGAATGAGGAGAATGACTGCAGCATAGCACTTTATGAACATATGATCAACAAGTGAGTATTTTACATGAAAACCAGAATTGGTCCTGTTTTCTGTGTATGGTCTTTGTTTTGTCAGTGATGTCACTGATATTATTATGGATTCAGTATTTCTTCTTGTGAAATGAAACAAGATGCAGCCATGCACATTCTTACTTAGGTGCAGCTTTCTGACACCCCTGTGATCAGATCTGATTGAGATTATTTAAGAGTATGTTGTTGCCTTTCAAAGCGATTGTGTTGTATATTCACCCCATGCTGGGTATGTTGATTTCATTTTTATGTGTTTAATTTTAGAACCTTCTGTTTTTCAATGTTACTTTTTTTCTGTAGTAGGATTTCACATCTCTTCTTATCAGGTATAAGCAAAGTCAGTAATTTTTTTCAAATTATTCCAAATGCATCACCACCATGTACTGAAATATGTGAGTTTTTATGGTCTGTTTGAAAGAATAAATTTTCAAATAAAGCTTCAAGTCAAAGTTCCTCTTAAATTTAGATCTGAATCTGCATGCATTCAGATCCATAAGCGGCAGAAAGGATTGTTGTTCTTATATAGTATTTTAGATACCATTTCCCTGATATTCAAATCACGTTTTCTGTACTATTAACAATTATCCTTATCAGGGTTTGTGCTGGTTTGTTTTTTTTACTAGCAGGATTAATAGTACTTGTACCTCTTTTTCTTTCCCAGAGATACCACACATCTGGAAATTGAGCCCTTCACCCTCCTGGGAGTGTGTGCAGGTCTTATTCCATACCCCCATCATAATCAGTCCCCCAGAAACACATACCAGTGTGCTATGGGGAAGCAAGCTATGGGTGAGACTGGTTTTAGAACCTTTTTCGTTTTTGTTTAATCCATTTGTCCTTCACTCAGAAGACTGTAAAAAAAAAAAAATGGTTTTGCTCCACCTGGCCAAGCAAGGTAAATGTATGGTTACAGAAGTGTGTTTTAGCCCTCATTTCCTGGTCGAGCAGGGCCCCGATTGTTAAACATGGGCAACAGGCTGCCGAAGCTCTCTTTTGAAGATGGGTGTCCTGAAGAAGCATCCTTTCACAAACGGTGTGTAAAGCAGGATTGACCGTATTCATGGTGCTCAGTTTGTTGCCACACACACACACAGGGCAGCAGCAGCGTCCGTGTGTGCAGACTGGGTATCAGCCCCAGGAACTGCGCAGGCTTCTTTTGTAGTTGTGTGTGCGAAGGCCTATTTGTGTTTCCCCCCCTCTTTTTTTTTTTTTGGAGTGTCATTAGCAATTCATTGTCCGCATTTTCAGAGGTCAGTGTATTCAGCTGCATAGACTGGGAAATTAGACAGAGAGTTCCCTGGAAACCAGCCTCCCCACGTCACTGCTAACATTCCCAAGAGGGTATCGCCCTCATTCCAGCAACATGAAGCGACTGGGCCTACATTCGTCCCGTTTTTGTGTAGGCAGGGCTGCACGTTTGCGAACCTGGCTATTGCTGGGGCACTATTTTCGTAATCTGATTGCAAAGCAATAACAGCAGACCAATGTCACAGCCTTTAGGAACTGAAGCTGTCTGACTGAATATTTTAGATGCCCTGACATAAGCTACTTCCCAGGAGTCCTAAAAATCTACACTGAACAAAATATTATAATGCATTTATCAAGTTCTGTCCAAAGTTTTTTCTGTCCATCACCTCCTTTTTTGAAGAATGACTTGTATTGATATTGATATCCTCCGTTCATTCCCGAGGATCTCAAAGCTCTTTACATACAGCAGAGGTTGTGACAGGCAGGTGCTGTTTTTGAAGGTACAGCACTACCCAATTTGAAATGACATTTCTAAACAAGTAATCAAGATTTAAAGATTCCGTTTGGCAGTTGCCCTTATTCTTTGTTTTTCGTGCTTTTATTTCAATTTTGATTTCTGTATATATTTTGCTTGCATTTATTTGTAGTGATGGGCTGCTCTCTTGGATAGTGTTATGATGTAATGAGGACCCAATGGGTCCATACTATACCTCTATTTAATGGAGTTGCTCTTCTGTCCTGGTTGAGCAATCCCTGCCTTGCACTCTGGGGCTTCTGCCAGTCTTGACTGTCCTGCTGGACCAGACTGCAGGGTAGTTTTGTCACATGGGAGTAATATCCTCTGGGAGCTGAGATGGGTCTGGCTTACTGACTGTGATAAGGAGCCTGCTTGGCATTTTCCAAATCATGCACGAGTTGCCAGGCAGTTAAAGAGCACTTGTGCCACAACTGTGGTGCATAGTTACTTCACTGAAGTGGTTTCGTTGTTACGTTTGACATATGAAAGGGGAGGAGTTCCACACAAAGGAAGTGTTGTTGTGAATTTTTTTTCTCCCGCATGCTTTGCCATTCATCACATCAGTTTCTTACCTTTTTGGACAGAAATGCTTTTTTTTTGTGATATGCAGTTTTAAAAATTTTTGGGGGGCTTTTAAATCAGCAATCAAAATTACATTTTAAACCATTATAAGGATAAACTAGAATGGAACGAGTGGCTATATTATGATGCTCTCCAAACACGATTTAACAAAAAGTGGGACAGTGTACAGTTTCTGTTACTCTGTAAACAATTCTTTGGCTCTCAGACAAGCACTAGTTCACTCATCTTGACTTCCATGACACCCTCTCTCAGCACGCCAGTTTCTTTGAGAATCCCTGGGGTGTTTTCTGGCATGGGAATTAAGTAGTGGCATTGAGTACTTTAAAATAGAAGTCATTATCTCTGGGTATCCATTCTGTGTCAAACACCGATGGCTGTGCTATTTAAAAAAATGCCGGCGTGTGTTATTAAAAATAATCACTTCATAGTGTTTATTCCTTTTGTGTGAGGAAAGTGATTTAGTAATTACCTAATTGAGTAATAAGCTGTCTCGTTATAAATTGTATCATTCATTTTCCTCAGGAACAATTGGCTACAACCAGAGGAACAGGATCGATACGCTCATGTACCTCCTGGCCTATCCGCAGAAGCCCATGGTGAAGACTAAAACCATCGAGCTGATTGATTTTGAGAAACTGCCTGCGGGACAGAACGCAACAGTGGCAGTGATGAGCTACAGTGGCTACGACATTGAGGATGCCCTCGTCTTAAACAAAGCCTCTTTGGACAGAGGTGAGAAACGCACCCGGTTCAGATTCCGTTAGGGCCGTTGACGCAGGGAGAGATTTTTGAAAGGGACAATCGCAGTCATTTGCTGGGGCACGTAGCTTACAAATTCCCAAATGCCGTTTTGAACAAATTTTTCAGCTTGTTTCCTCCCTTTGTGTTCCTGTCGATTTTCAGGCTTTGGAAGATGCCTGGTGTACAAAAACGCAAAGTGTACTCTGAAGAGGTACACCAACCAGACCTTTGATAAGGTCATGGGACCAATGCTGGACGCAGCTACAAGAAAACCCATCTGGAGACATGAGATTCTCGATGCTGATGGCATCTGCTCCCCAGGTCGGTGTGGGTGAAGCAGTGGCTACAGAAGTCAAATACGTCTATACAGGAGAGGAACGACTGAGCAGTTCACAGTTATCAGTCTCATTAAACATCTTCCTCCTGTCTTTGATTTAGAGAAGCCAGTACTTTTGTTGGATTAACATTAGAAATGCCCTTTATATATTGTCTATGACTGGCGTCGTGAGTAACATGTGAGATGCCGACTTTGAGCAGGGTTTTGAAAAATGAACTAAAAATGTTTTTTGCCCCTTGGGTAGCAAGATGAGTTCAAGTTTGTCAATTCTACAGCTTATTTAAAGGCTGCTGTTCATTTTGTATCAGTAAATCCTAAAACCTAGAATAGGAGGCATTTCCTTTCACAATGGGTTGTGGAAGTATGGAACAAGCTACCCAGCCATGTCATTAGAGCTGCTAATTTTGCGGTCAGGAAAATGGATGGTTTTCTTGGATCAATTAGCTAGTAAATACGAAAAACAGGCTAGACAGGCCACCTGGCCTCCTCTTGTTCGTAACCATCCTTATGCCCTTTATTCCTGTTGAATCCTGCACATTTCCCCTGCAGGGGAGAAGGTGGAGAACAAGCAAGTGCTGGTGAACAAGTCCATGCCTACCATTACCCAGACTCCACTGGAGGGCTCAACCCAGCCCCAGCAGCCACAGTTCAGGGATGTGCCCGTCACGTACGTTTGTACCCCAAATCTGCCAGCTGATTTTATGAACATTGCTTTTTTTTCTTTTTCCACTTCCTGTTCTTGTCCACTATAAATAGCTCACCGTTTGCCTTGTGAAGCTTTTCCCCACTGTATGCCACAAGGCCAACGCTAAGCTAACAGGCTCCTCTCCTTCTGTCAGGTACAAAGGCTCCACCGACTCCTACATTGAAAAAGTGATGATTTCATCCAACGCCGATGATGCCTTCTTGATCAAAATTCTCCTGCGACAGACCAGAAGACCTGAAATTGGAGATAAATTCAGCAGTCGTCACGGCCAGAAAGGTAGTTTTATCCAAGGTGCTGCTCGGAGGCGGTTTCGGTTTGGACCTCAGACTGCTGAAACCAGGCTAATAGTTCAAATCAGTTCAGTAACTATGGGCTTTAATTCCTAGTTTTTCTGTTTATCTCAGATTTCATGTGGGATGTTTTATAGGTAGTTGATAACTTTCCACATGTGCAAACACATTCCATCTTTCCTGATGTAGTTGTCACATCATACTGAAATCAGATATTCCCGTGCTGTAAAATTATAATGCTTCTCACCCCAAGACTTAATCAACACACTGGTGGGCTCACAATTAAAGCTCAACTGCCCGACTAAATTACCATTTGGCTCTATAACTATTTTTTACCCGTAATTCAATGAATAGACACCGACATGAAATGAAAAACCTGAATCTTTAACCCCTATTTACATATTTAAATACAGAAGGAAAGCTGTTTTGCATTTTATGGTATGCTATTGGCTGAAGCAAAATTTGTTAGTGGTTATCTAGCTGTGTAAACCCTGTGGATTGTGAGATGCTTTAAGGATTCTGCAGTCTGTGTGTTTAGTCAAGTTCTTATGCTGATTGTTTTACAATAGCCGCTCTCACGAACATTCTGGGGCTGTTTTTCAATTAATCAGTTCTTTGTGTGCTCCAGACTATGCAAATTTATTACATCTAAGTATGCCACAGTCCCTGGGAAAGCTGTGTGCAACCCTCATTGTCTTTCAGTGCCTCCCAAAAGTCTAAGTGATGTTTTAATCAGAAAGCTAACTGGCACTGTGCATTAATCACTTGCTTAACTAAACGAGGTCAGAAAATTGCCATTAGTCACAAGCCTTAAGAACTTTTGCATGCGTTATTGTGGAGGTGTGTGTTCAAAACTGTGACGCAAAAGTGGCATAAAATGGGAGTTCACCGTTTATTTTTAGATATAGTTTGTCTGAAATTAAGTTTAGTCATACTTAAAATGGAAGGACTGCGATAGTTGCTGGACAGCCTGAGTCCTGTCCTGCTTCTGGAAAGAAACATTACTGTCCCATTGTGAAGAAATTAAGAATATTGCTGCTAATTCTTATCTCTCTAACCTAGGTTTTCCTCTGTTTCAGTATTTATATGATGGAATGAAAATATTCCAGACTTTGCTGGACTTAATTTGCACAGTTCACATTATTCCAGAGGATCACACTGAGTGCTGAGCTTGAGTGACACCTAGAAGAGGCCAGTAGGGTCGGCGTCTGGCCTTTCTTGGTACGACAGGGGACGTCTCCAGCTTTAGATTGTGTGTCTCATGTTCCCCTGACTAGCAGTGTGGAGAATCTCGTGGTGCCGGTTGAGAGTTAGTTGACTGTAAGCATGGCTCTGGAGGATAGAAGGGCATAAACTGATGGAAGGCCGCAGTGCATCAGAAGTGTGTTTCTAATAGAATTCATTGATTGAGGGTGTATAGATTTTAAGTAGCTCATTATCTTTGAAACCCAAATAGATGTTTAAAAGTTTTTTTTTTGTTCTTTACTTACCCAGTGTCACCATTACCCTGCAGCTTGCGGTAATGAATGAATTAATTTTACTCAATGTTTGGTGGCTTGCTTTAGTGCATGGTAAAATAAAAAAAAAACTTGTCTTACCTATCATTTATATGTTCAGTTTAGGATTTCATAGTGGTGTGACATACTATGTGATGATTAAATGCTTTTGGTATTGACACTCATATTTTACTTTTTCTAATGCCACTCCACATGTAAACGTGATAACATTGTTCTTATGTTTGCACAGAACAGTTGCGAATGATAGTACATACAAGTGCCATACATTCCTTCCTGTGCACCAGTAACTTTTTAATACTCTTCCTGAGGAAGGAGGTAATTTTGTACTAAATTGTAAATTATTATGCTGAGCATAGCCAAAATTCTTTATTGGAAATCTACATTTATAACCACGTTTGTGGTATTTACAAAGTTGAAAAACCATTAGCTTTGTAGTTGTAAAGATTTTTCAGTGTGGGTACAGAGCTGCGCTGGAGATGCGTGTCAAAGTTGGTTGAACTAATTCTGTCCTACCTTGCGGGTTGTAATGGGAGGTAATGACCACACGGGCTGTTGTCTTGATGTGGCTCCACTGCCCAGGAAGGCTTTGCGGCAGAATGTGAACCACGACTGAGTACAGTTCTGCATCTGAGCTGGAAAAAAAGAAAGGTTTTTCCTATCACTTGTCACTCGTGTGTTCAGCTAGTTTTACAGGGTTTTTGTGTAGCGTTTATTAAACTCTCTCAGCTATGACTAGTCTGGTAAGCACACTCAGCAGAGCAGAATAAGTTAATTATTTACTTGTGTCACTGGCTTCCCCTCTGTCTGATCAACACAGCTGTGTTGGATGTGTGGTGGCTTGTGGGGGTTCCATTGTCTCCCCAGTCGGCCCAGCGCGGAGCTGGCTGTGATGGAGAGCTCAGGCTCTTCTCTGTTGTTCCGCCTTTCCCTGCCGATTTCATGGCTCTTTTATCATTCGCTTTCTCACAAAACAAACAACACAGTGGATGTCTGCTATGGGAACCTTTTTTTTTTTTATCCTTCATAAAAGGAGACTGTCCGATTGACGGTTGGCATTCCCCCCCTCCTCCCTCCTCTTCACACTCTGAAAATCTTGGATCGGCCAAGTTGACTGTATTTTTTTTTTTTTAGCATTTGAAAAACCAGCCAAAAATCTCATTATGTTCCTCGGTTTTACAGTCCATTTTTATTGCGTTTCCTTTTGTTAACTGGCTAAACAAAAAGCTATAAAGTAATTCTTTTTTAAACTGGGAAGTGTTTTAAAAGACAGAGAATTATCGTCATCCGTTGTTTATGTCGCACATCCCTGTGCTGGTCTGAGGCCCCTCCTGTGAGGATAACTGATCACTGCTTCTTGTTTTAAGGCAAAACTCTCACCCTCTTTCCGGAGACGCAGGAAGCCTGCTCTGTAAAGCATTGATATTTAAACAACAGTTTGAAGTGCATATTTAAGATAAAACACAAACTCGTGTTCATGTCAGTCTCTACATGTAATGATATGGAAATTCTTGACCCATTAAAAGTGTTTCATGGAAGAGGAATAACTGAGTAAACCTCTGTATATTCTGGGCCTTGAAGAGCTCATTCAGAATGTAGAGTCGGTCCTCAGATTTATTTTCCTAAGCAGTTGTGCACTAAGCTGTCAGCGACAAAGAAAAGACATGAAATTGTTATCCCACTTTCACTTTCACAGCTAAAACCTTTCGTAAACTTCCTGCTCATCCTTTTTTACTTGCAAATTGTCTTAATGTGTTTGTTCAGGTTTAAGCTTGCAATAAAGTGACTTCGGCAAACATTTGTGCTAACACTTGAACATTTGGACTCCTGTAACTGCAGAAGATCTCTTCAGGCTCTTTTAGTATACTATTATTTTATTGTGATAAAAATGTTATTTTGTAATCTACTAAAAGATCAGAAGATCAGTTTAGTATACTGTGTTACCACTGCACATTATTAGAATATATTTTCTTGGATAAAGTCTGTGTTGGTATAGAAAATTTAAATGATCAAGTTATTTCATTTTAACTATGTCTAACTAGTCAGGTAAAAAAATAAGATGCATTTTGCATAATTTCATTTTAAAATATTTTCTACCATGCATTTGCATTATTGCAAAACATAAGAGATTAGAATTTGTAAGGGACATAGTTTTTAAGTATTTTTTAGCATTAAAAAATTATTAACAGAAGTAGTTACAAGTAATAAGTTTACAGAGCATAAAGTGTACATAACTTAGAATGTAAGATACTTAAATCTTAAGAAAATATTCCAGACTGGTTATCACTCATAAATTATTTACTTATGCAAATTCTAGAATATTTTAATTTGTAATTTGTTACAACAAAGAACCTATAAGACATTTTGTCTGCAGTTAAGTGATATCCTGAACTTGTAAAATCCTGATTTTACAGACTAGATATTTTTTTGTTTTAGATCTCAAAGCAGTTTTGGTCAGGTGTATCATCCCTTCTAAGACCTTGTGCTAGTCATTGCAGATGTGCAGCAGTGTTGTAGCAAGCACCTTTTAAGGCCAGACCTTAGTCATTATGATGGTGGTGGAAGCACCACCACAACTTCTGACTGCAGCAGGGAAGAGCTCCATGACCACGGTCTCCTGCATTGACATCGTGAAGGCAAAAAGAAATCCCTTATTGAAATCCCAATTATAGTCCCAGTTCCACAAGAGTCCCCTTTAAATGATAAAAGAATCAGTTCTTCCTCGTAGACCCTGTACACGAGACAAAAACAAAAGAAATGCATATGTTTAGTCATTTTTTTGGTGTAATACTCCAGTGTTTGTCCGATGGTTTTTTTAAACCAAACACTTCTTGCACAGGTGTGTGTGGCTTGATTGTTCCCCAAGAAGACATGCCTTTCTGCGATTCGGGAATCTGTCCTGACATCATCATGAATCCTCACGGATACCCGTCCCGTATGACGGTAAGGACTTCTCCAGTCTTTTGACTTGACAAGGATGCGCGGTGGGATGGAAAGTTCTATACCCCAGGTGGGAGTCTGATTTTATACCTTCCCCTCACAAGACAGATGCCCTGCACTTCTCCCTGAGGTCTTCAGTGTGCCACACATTCTGGTTAAGAGGCAAGAGAAGAGAGATAGACAGGCAATTCTGTAAAAGGAATGAAATGTTTTTGAGAGTTACTTGCCATGCCGATGTATGAAATGATGTATAAATGGGTAGCGTCAAACATTAAAATAAACGGAAACAAAGCCAAAATAAAATCCAAAGCAGTTATTAATGTCAAAGGGGGCCGTGCCGTTAGCACTAAAATAGAGCTTCACCTTGAGAATCTGCAGTATATGGCCTTCAATGTTGTATCTTGTATATGATGTTCCACTATAATTTTATCTGCTTTTTATTATAATGTTATTATGTTGTGTGTCTTTCTGGCTTCTGTCATGTCCATAATAAAATGGATGAAAGTTCATTCGTATTCTATTCCCAGGTCGGGAAACTCATTGAGCTCCTGGCAGGGAAAGCTGGAGTCCTGGATGGTCGATTCCATTACGGCACAGCCTTTGGTGGCAGTAAAGTAAAGGATGTCTGTGAGGACCTTATCCGCTATGGCTATAACTATTTGGGAAAAGATTATGTGACATCTGGCATCACTGGGTAAGGAGCAGAATGTTTTTTCCTTCTCTACGGAGTGTCCAGAAAATTAGAGCGAAGCACAGACCGCTGTCTGTATCCATGCTACCCCAGGGGTGCCCTCTTATACCCAGTCCTTGGTCCATAGCGCTGTGGGACAGGTTGTCATCATGATACATATGAGATTCTGGGTATCAGAAATTTCACAAGCAGATGATTTTAATAATTCATTGGAGTACTGTAATTTTCCATGAAGCGCATAGAGAGAAAGAGTAATGGATCATTCTTGGTGGAAATTGATTATTGACAGTGTCCAAGTTCAAAGTGGGTACCATATATGATGATAAAGCTCACATAGTAATATTTCTGTATAGCAAGCTTGTATTTAAATACAATGTGAAATATGCAGGTGCACTTCTACAAATCTTGTTTCCTTAATGGTAATGCAGGGTTGAGAGCTAACAAGCCTATATTTTTTTTCTGGTTTCCCTCAGAGAGCCTCTGGAAGCATATATTTACTTCGGTCCAGTTTACTACCAGAAGCTGAAGCACATGGTTCTGGACAAGATGCACGCCAGGGCCCGGGGTCCAAGAGCAGTTCTTACCAGGTAAAGGTGCAAAGGGGTAGATGTTTGGGAGCGCAGACAGGCAGCTGCTTGGCCTGCTCTGCTGGGGTGTGGCCGGTCGTCCATTGCCTGTCCGTTTTGTCTGCGCAGGCAGCCCACGGAAGGGCGTTCCAGAGATGGTGGCTTGCGTCTGGGAGAGATGGAGCGAGACTGCCTGATTGGGTACGGAGCCAGCATGCTCCTTCTGGAAAGGCTGATGATATCCAGTGATGCTTTCGAAGTTGACGTCTGTGGCCAGTGTGGATTGCTTGGCTATTCTGGGTGGTAGGTGTCCATATTGATGCTTTTTCTGTTAGGGGTACATTTTTCTCATTCTCCGTCTCCCTATGGGGTAAAGATCCTGGAGAGCATGTCCTAGTTGTGTATAGTACTATAATGCTTTTAGTTTTCATGCTTCAAAGAATTTTTATTTGTCAAAGTCTTCAGAAGTCAACCGCCAATTTAGTGCAAGGGAATTCTTAAATTCTACCGTGCATCTAAGAACATAAAAAGGTTACAAATGAGAGAAGGTTGTTTGGCCTATCTGGCCCAACAGAAGTTGTTGAAAGCAACCAGGGTTATCGACGTCAACCACTTGAAAGACAAGTTGCTTCTGAATTATTTTACCCCGTAAGTGTTAGAGGTATTCAGTGTTTATATTCACGTATTACAGCATCCGTTGCAATCATCGAAATCCTTTTAGCACAATGCTCTCAAAACCTCTCTCCTTAAAACGTTAAGTTTCCGCTGTCATCGCAATGAACAGAACAAGTGTGTCCCTGGAACAGGCGAGACGATGCGCCCGTGTGAGTTTCTCAGCCTGCCAGGTAATGCACCCTTGTGTTCCCGTGACAGGTGTCATTATTGCAAGTCTTCGTGCCACGTGTCCTCTCTCCGCATCCCGTACGCCTGCAAGCTGCTCTTCCAGGAGCTTCAGTCCATGAACATTGTGCCACGGCTGAAGCTGTCCCCTTACAACGAGTGAGACCGGGAGTCACTGAGCCCGGAACAGCGGCAGGAAAACTCGGAGCTCGCGGAGCGTAACCCCGTTCAAACCTTCCCGAGCACGTCGATCGTCGTCGTCGTCGTCAGCTCGCCCGTCGTGATTTTTTTTGTTCATTTCCTGAAACGTAGGTCAATGAGACTTACTCTGAAAACCGAACTGGAAGTAGTTCTGTGGCTGATGGAGATATTTCTAAAAATGTGGTTGGGGAGGGTAGGACCGTGCAGTTGCGGATTTGCAAGAGCAGGGCCACCTCTCCTGTTGTCTTATTGGTGATCGTGCGGTACGACGGCGAAATACTGCCATGGCTGGTCGCGGCGCATTGCGGTTCTTGCTTTGCCTTGACTTTCATGTCAAACTAGAGTACAGTAAGCGAAGACTGAAAACTGGAGAATGACTGTATGCTAAGGGAATTAAACACACCTCATCCTGACGTTGGAGAGTGAAGATTACTGTAATACAGTAAGCAACTGTATATTACTACGTATCTTAAAAAAATGATATGAAACTACCGCAAGATGAAAATGTAAAAACTGTGGTATTATTGTTTTTTACCTTTTCATTTGTGTATAGTTAAAATCATTGCAGAATTTACTTTTGTCAAAAGAAATGGTTATTGTGAACTGATGCTATCACAGCATCTTAACATAAGGAAGGTTAGGTTTTTTTATTTTTTAAATTGTCAGCACAGTTAAGTTCAGGGTTGCATCGTGAGTGACTGGGCAGACTTTGAACAGCTGGGACAGCTGGGATAATTTATTTTTGTGATATAAACTTTGGATGAATGATGAGAAATAAAACATTTCTCAATATATCTACAAATAAAAGTGTTAAGTTTTTTTTCTGCACCAAATAGCTTTATGTATTTCTTTATGAAATGGTAACTAAATTTGTTTCTCATTTTCTGTTTTTGTGTTTACAGTGAATAAAAGTTACTTATAACCATATTGTAGTGAAACAGTTGTCTGCTGATTTGTATGGCGTTTGCTGCACAGTTTTATTTTAATGAAATCAGTTTGATTCTTTCTGGTTGATATTCACATCTTATTCAAAGCCTGATTTCCAGATGTTTGGGGCAGTTGAAGGCATCGAGCATCTTCTCTGCTATGAAATGACAGTAGAAGGTTGAATCTAACTGGTCAGAGTTTAATTACAGTATATAAAATAGTTCTGCTTTTAAAAAAGGCTTAAGAGTTTGTAGGTATAGAATATGCAGATGTTTGATTATTGCCTATGCCTAATAATTGAAATGTATATTGAAATACTGAGATAATGCCATCGGGAAATTGGCAGGAAGCAGCTGGAAAGTCTTTGATGTCTTTCTCTTTTTAAAGCCCTGCCAGGCCCCAGGGTGTGAACTTGGGATTTGTGTGCAGAGAATTACACCTGAATACATGTACAGTAATGCTGCACATTACGCACACAAAGATAGGGTTGAGGCCAGGTAAGAAACAGGTACAGTAAGGGTGTTGCTGCGTTCACCGTTTTGAGTTTCAGCTGCAAGACAAACTCGAAAGTGTGATATGCAGTTGAATGAGATTGCTTTTTTTTTTTGGCAGCGGCAACAGTTTGTAGCTTGTTTTTTAAATCTCTTCTGCTATGCGCTCAGATTTGGAACCACATGAAATAAAAGATTTGACTCTTAATACTAGCCCTTCCACTGTGGCAAGGCCAAGAAGGATATTGCAGAAGGGACCTGCACATCACAATCAAAATATACCCAAATAATACTGTTGAAAATAACTTGCAATTCCAGAAGGGATGAAAAATGTTGATGGAAGCCCTGGAAGGGCCAAAGGTTGTGATGTAAGTCCAGCGTTTGGTTTTGGCACTTATTTCTCAAATCTTTTGTTTAGTTTTGTAATGTTTTCAAAGCACCATGCAATTAAAAACAGTTTAGGGTGTTGTTCCCCTTAAGAAGGCAATTTTTAAAACTAAATATCGCCCTGCTGTTCCTGTGAACATGAAATGTTTGGCTTCCTCTCGTCTGTTTTGTCCTGCTGAGGGAGAGGAACCGATGTGAAAGAGGACTCTTGTACGTGGATGGTCTCTCCAGGACAAAGTGGAGCAGAGGTGCTGGACAGTGTCCCCGCTACTGGTGTGTGGACACATGGACCCTTTCTGCTTAATGGGCTTTTAATCAGGCTCAAGTCATGGGCAAAAAAAAAATATTTGCAAATTGAAAAGAATAAAGAAAAAAATTATGTGGTTATTAGCTTCGCAGACACGTTCATGGTTAAAATAACCATCATACATGGTAAGGTTGCTTTTCATTCTTGATTTTTGTTAATTATTAGTATTTCTCCCAATGAAATGTCTTCCATTTTGCATGTTGGTTAACAGAAATTGTATGAAGCTTCTCGTTCCTTAAATCAGGTGGTGCTCTAATTCCCTGTTGTATGGAGAGGAATAGAGACACCTGGTCCTTAATTGGATTTCTTCTTTCAAATGAAGTACTCTGGTTTCTCTACAACATTGCAGCTGTGTGCATACCATAGAGGTCTGACCAGACAATGCATAACTTGAATATATTGACTGGACGTGGCATTTTGCATTAGGTTAATATCGAGGCCCATGTTTAGCAATTAATAATCTGACATTCTTAATGTGTGGGAGGTGCAAGAAACCCATTGGTGGCGTGCACCTGTATGTCCTAATGAGATCCTAATAAGCAAGAGAGTGGTTAAAGGTGGCATTCGCAGGCACACACAAGATGATTTTCAACAGAAGGAAATAGATGGCTTTAATTAGAGTTCTAGGAAGCTCGTACTGTTCTTCCATAGTCCTGCTTTCATTGTGCTAATGTCACAGAGATGCAGTAACAGTCCACAATACGCTGGTACTGGGGTTTGTTAAAACGGGATGACATTTATTAATCAGTAAGGCAACGTTTCACAGTTTTGTCTCGCTTTAAAAGAACATCACAGTGCATTTAAAGGCTATGAATAGTCATTCTCAAATAAGAGATGATATTGATTTCTTACCAAAAGTAGCAGAAGGGGAATCGCTATCTGGGAATGCTGAATGGCAAATAGAGGTCTGTTGAGGCTATTGAAAGATCAGTGCACATCAAATAAAAAGAATTGCTTGTAAATCTGTTCTCATTATAGGCATCTCATTTTTTTTACTTTACAATGTTAAAATGACATGACACAACTGTCATTTAAAAACATAAGACCTAAAATATTTACTATAATTTTTTTGTTAAAATACAACTTAAATGTTTAGTGGCAATTCTGTTAATTATGCTTTTCAAAGTCCAATATTTATACTTCAAACACATGCAAAATTGTACCATCCACTGTGTTTATCTGAGGATGTTGGTATATTTTCCTTGTTTACACTCTTGGTTATAATTAAAGTTAATTCGAGATGGAAACCACAGAGTAATTGAAAAGGTCAGTGAAGTTCAGGTACACTAACCGATTTCAACAGTTCGGTCAGACCCTAATAAGTGCGATGCAGTGAGGGAGCTTATTAGGATAATGTATTGAATCTTTCTTTGGTGTAGCATGCCTGGTAATGGCAACATGACCACAAGCCCAGACCACTGCAGTGAACACTATTCAAGGAAGTAATCAAGCATAGCAATAGTTTTGGCAGGGAATCCATTTTAATGATTAGGTGACTGTCAGGAAAGTTCTTGCTTCAAACAAAACCAGATGTACTGTAACATCTAGGCACACTGTGATACATAAAAAAAGCAATTCATGCTGTACAGGTTATACGTCTTTCACAGGTGTGAAAGCTCTTAGATGGTTTGATGAGGAAATAAGATGAGGTGTTTAGAATTTGGCTTTGTACTATACTTCATCTGCCATTTCTTATTCCTAAAAAAATAAAGCTGAACAATGAACTAAACAACATTCTTACCAAATTATCAACACTTCCAGAGATTTCAATCCACTTCCATGTACAATTTGTAATTTACAATTAAGTATGTTTTACTATAACTGGAAATCTTGCTAATTGTTTTTTTCCTTATTTGTTAAGATTCTTAAATTAGAAAAACCTGTGATTTATGACAAAAGATTGAAGTTTATTGAAGTTTAAATATCTTTCAATCAGGAAATGTTATTTGCTGTATCTGCATTTTGAAGTTAAAGCTGAAAGAGGTTCAAGAAAGACTAACAAATCATGATGTCAGTGTCTTTGTTTTGTAAAATGGATTTTGCATTAGAGGTTTAGTAATCCTAGGCATTTTCAATCCGTGTTTTTAAACGACAATGTGTTCATTTGTCGAGGAATGAGCCAGGGAGCTGCTGCAAGGGTGAAGATGGGGTGGAGGAAGGACTGTGAGGAAAGACTGTGAAGGGGTGCTCTGAGGATGAGATATCTATACACCGGAAAGCAGAAGTAGACGATATCAGAATTTGACCTCTTCTCTAAAGTCTACTTATAATCTCCATTTCGTATGGATAAAGCATTGGAAATTTCTTCAAAGAAGGCACAACAGCACCTTTACTTCCTCAGACAATTGAGAAATCTGGTTTATCTTCAGATGTCCTTGCCACATTCTACAGGTGTGCTGTTGAGAGTGTGCTCACGTGTGGTATTACAGTGTGGTTTGGCAGCAGCTCGCTGTCTGACTGGAAGGCGTTATTGGGGGTGATCAGGTCAATCCAGTCCATCATTGGGGTACAGCTCCCCTCTTTTGTGCACATTTTTGCAACTCGCTGTCTCAGGAAGGCTGAAAGTATCGCTCAGGATAACAATAATCCTAGTTCCTCACTTTTCTCTCCCCTTCCCTCTGGTAAGCATTATAGGAGCATGAACTTCCAGATTCAGAGTTTCTTCCCACAAGCTGTCAGATTACTGAACTCTACCCCTACCACTGGCTCACACTGAGGTTTTTTTTTTCTCTCACTGCTTGTCTGAGTTTTTTTCAAGTTGTATGTTATTTAACTCGTTGTTGCTGGTGCTGCTGTTCTATGTTCATGTTTTTGGTGATTCCTTTAATGTTTTTGTATTGGAGCATACATTCAAATAAGCATTTCATTGCACTTGTGCATCTGACAAATAAACTGAACAAATAACAAATACAAATAATTTATTAAAAGTTTCTTTGGCATAACTTGTATGGCTGAGGAAATGGCAATCTGACTGTAAGGAACTTTGGAGGAACTCCCAGGGAGATCAAAGAATCCCCATGACATTGAAGCAGAGTTGTTTAAGACAAAGCTTAGGGCACACAAGCTTTTGGTTGATCAAGTATCCTAGATTAGAACACTGACCAATGTGAAGGCTTGGGTAAAGGAATGTTTTCCTTTTGAGGAGAAGAAATAATAAGCCAAGTACTCAAGGTGAAAAGATAGTCATAAGAAAAGTTTATTCCCACAGTGGAGGAGCCTTTCCTTCTCTTAGAGTCAGGTGGAAAAGAGAAAGCTTCTCTAAGAAGCAGGTAGCTCTCCAAGTAATACAGTATATGCACAGATGTCAGAGAACTTACTGTACACTGAGGAGCAAAAATCCCTTATATGACATAAATCGATACCCAATTTTAAATTTTATACTGTCAGCTCCTAAGCTTCCACCCAAAGGTGACCTTTAATAAACATAAGTTTCTCTGCAGAAAAAAGTACCAGCTCACTTCTTTAGATGGTTTACAGACAGCTAATAAGACAACCCATTTGACACCCAAACTTAATTTATCATGTGTGCAAAGAAAACTAGACAAACTTCTGTGACTGCTCATATGATTTTATGGGAGCAATCAAACATTACTTTGCTAATGTCTAGATAAATCTTCACTTCTTCATATGGTTTGATGCTAGGAAATGGGATTCCACAAGGGGCTGTGGAAGGTGCCGTTTTGACCCGTGACCCAACGAGGAACCTGCGAGCTAGAGTCGCCAAGGTCAGCTTTGATTAGCCTGACACAGAGCTTGTGTAGGAACCACTGGTGAGCAACCTCTTGAACAGCTCTTCAGCGAACAGACAGTTGCATCCCTGCCAGAGATGAGTAAGAATAAGAAATTTACAAGGCTGGTATCCATAACCTGTGTGGTCCGTTTGCTTTGTCTGAATTAATAAGGATGTATTTTATTTCCTCCAGTCGGAATTATAGTGATTGTCTTTGAAGGCAAGTAGGAGTCCAATACACTGTAGAGTAGCAGCCATATCACCCTGCAGCTCACAACTGGCAACCCACTGAAGCTCAGCAGGTGTGAGCCTGGTCAGTACCTGGATGGGAGACCTCCTGGGAAAAACTAAGGTTGCTGCTGGAAGAGGTGTTAGTGGGGCCAGTGGGGCCCCAGTATAGTGACAGGGACACTATACTGTAAGCAGGCGTCGGCCTTCGGATGAGATGTAAAACCGAGGTCCTGACTCTCTGTAGTCATTAAAAATCCCAGGGCGTTTCTCGAAAAGAAGAGAGGTGTAACCCCGGTGTCCTGGCCAAATTTCCCGTTGGCCCTTACCAAGCATGGCTTCCTAATAATCCCCATCTATGAATTGGCTTCATTACTCTGCTCTCCTCCCCACTGATAGCTGATGTGTGGTGAGCGTTCTGGCGCACTATGGCTGCCGTCGCATCATCCAGGTGGGGCTGCACATTGGTGGTGGTGGAGGGGAGTCCCCATTACCTGTAAAGCGCTTTGCTATATACAGTAAGTGTAAGCAATTATTATTATTATTATTATTATTATTATTTTTATTAGAGGGTCTCTAGCTGGAAGACCTCAGCTGTGGGCCAGAACTGCGGGCCAACGCAGGGGGGGGAACGGACAAGGGAACCGATCATCACTGCTGCCTGGCCTGCGACTGGGCTGGATTCTGACAGAGAGAAAGCAGACCAATGCGAAGAGAGTGGGAACGTGGACACAGGATGTAGGGGAGAGGGACAGGGAGCCGGGCTGGGGGCGTAGCTACTGTATGCTGGAGCTCCAGGGAGGGGTGATCCTGATGGAGTGGTCATCATGGCCTCTTGGGGAGCTATTTTCTGCCAGCGGCTGTGAATACGAGGTTGACGGCCTGCAGAGCGGAGGAGCCTGTAGGCAGCTCCCCATCTCGGTGTGGAGCAGGTGAATGGCGGAGGAAGCCATGCACTCGATGCACACAGCAACTGCAGGAACTGTGAGGGGGGGCAGGGTCCGGATGCGCAGGACCCATAGAGGATGGGAAGTCAAAGACGGAGAATGGAAAAGTAAGGTCTGCCGCTGGCAAGAGCAAACACCCCGAGTGTGAGAAAAGCAAAGGAGTGCTCAGCAGGCGAGAGCTTCACATAAGAGAGTATAAATGGGCAACATCAGAGTTTTTAACTCCTGAACTCCTGTCAGAATACTCCATTTGGCCACTAAGAACAGCCATTTTTGCTGTGTAGACCTTTGTTGTGAGATAAGGGAGCAAAACAGCACAAAAAGTAATGTCCAGGCTGAAGTCAAGGCAGCTTCTCTTAGATTTACTGTATTCTGTAGACATTAGAGCTTCAAGCTGGCTGGCCTGTAACATCTGGGAGGTCAAGAAACTGCATCAAAATACATTTTCACAGCCACTGTTCAGGACTGAAAAGTGAAGTATAACAGCCTAAAGAATAGACCGTACAGAGGACATGGGTGCTTGGGGCTAATGCAAAAAGTTTCTAACATCTCTGGGATGCTCAATAGAATAAATCACACATTTCAGAAACTTTACACTTTCTCTTAACAAAAACCTTCAAATGGAATACAATGGTGTTTTCTATCATGTATTAGATTATAAACCTGACTCACTGACTCATGTGAAGAGAAAATCATTTAAATGCATTTAAATGTTTATTGCATTTAAATATTGCTGAACGGATAGAGTAGATTAACACTTGTAATGTCACAAAAGTACAGCAAATGTGATCAGTGGGATAGGAGTCCAAGGCATATCTAGAAACATTAGTAAAGACCGACAAGATTATACTTTTCCAATGCTATTATGTGATGGAAATGCTTGGAAGTACCTCTTTATCCAAAGTGTGGTAGGAATATAGAACACGTTACCCAACCATGCTGTCGAAGCCAATACTCTTTCTTTCAAAGCACAACTCAGTGACATCCTCCAATAAATTAGCTACTAGCAACCAAATGGGCTACATGAGAAAAACAGCCTCCTCTTGTTGTAATCTTTCTTATTGATAATGTAAAGCTAATAAAACAAGCTGGTTCTCTTTAGTGTCGGACATAGCAAATGAACTGTAGGGAAAATAAATAAACTAACAACAGGAACTAATACAGAGATGAGCGAAGAAAGTCAAACCCGCAGTTACAATAAACCCTAGCTGTGTCTCCCCTTTGGTCTGACCTGCTAAGAGAAGAAATGAAAGATGTGGCGAGAGGTGTTTCCTGAAGGGATCTGGGTGCCTAGACTTCCTCCACCTGATACAAAGCCTTTATTTCCTGAAAGAAACAACCCTCATTCAAATTTGTACTCACTATCACTCATACGACCTGCATAGCCCCAGCATTTCTCTGTATCCCAGACACCCTAGCCTGGGCGCCTGACCATTACAAAACCATACAATACAAATTGACTCTTACATTGTGCTCGTCAGACAGTCAGCACTGTGAGCATCCCGGAGCACTTTTGTTTTACATCAAGCCACGTGCAAAAACAAATTCACTTAAAATTAATTACGAGAAGCTAAAAACCAAGTGTCCTGCTGGCTTTAAACATTGCCTTGAGTACCACTATAAGGAACTCCATCTCCCAGCATTGGATTGCCAGCAAATGAGAAATTACAATCATCAAGACAGAAACTTATAGAGGCATTACCTATCTCCTCTGCATCCTGATCCAGGCAAGCATTGTATTCAAGTACATTTTTTAAATTATATAATGCTAATTACAGAGTTAAAATCCACAAGCAAATGAAAGCTCAGAATCCAAATTCTTACCATTAGAGGACAGAGTGATAGAATTTGTGTAAAAATGTATCCTTGAAGTGTTAGAAGCTAAGAATTTGTGTTTAGTATATTATCTTGTTTTAATTTAATTTGCTTAAGGGCTATACTCGACTGAATTTTAGTTGGAAAGTCTGTAAGGACAGACACCACCATGGCATTCTGGGCTGGGCTGGATGATAAATAATTTGTGTTTCAAAAGCATAGAGATAAAAGCCTATACGCCTGATGATATCACCGGTGGTATCGTTCTCACTGAACTGGAAGAGTTCCATCATAGAACCTTGGGGAACACCAAACTGAACTGCTTATAATAAGATAAGATAAGACTTTATTGATACCGAAGGGAAATTGATATGTTACAGCAGTCCAGCCCAAGACAAGCAAAAAAACAGACATCAGGACAGACGAAAAATTAGAATACGTACAGTAATACAAAATGAATATAAAATAAAATTAATAAAAAAAATACATAGTTGTGTGGAAAATATGATCATAGTCACTGTAAAAACAATAAAATATGTGCAAAATGTGCATAGGTATATACAGACTGATTGTCCAAAAAAGAACAATGGAGCAACATGCTGTCCATAGGCGACCAAATGAAGGGCTAACAGTCCTAGCCTGGGGCAGCATTATACACCCTGACAGCCGCCGGGAGGAGAGACCTGCAGAAACGTTCCCTTGAACACCGTAGCTGGAGCAGTCTGTTGCTAAAAGTGCTCCGCTGCCCAGTATCAGTCCCATGAAGCGGATGAGAGGTGTTGTTCAAGATGGCTGTGAGCTTGGTCAGCATTCTCCTCTCAGCCACCACCTCCAGGGGGTCAAAGCTCATCCCCAACACAGTGCCAGCCTTCTTGATAAGTTTATTTGCATCTTTTGTCATGATGCTGCTGCCCCAGCACACAACAGCGTCAAAGATGGCCGCTGCCACCACTAATTCATAAAAAATGTGTAGCAGTGTTCCACACACACCAAAGGACCTGAGTCTCCTTAGAAAATAGAGTTGGCTCTGACCTTTCTTGTACAGGGCGTCAGTGTTACCAGACCACTCCATCTTATCATCCAAGTGTACCCCTAAGTACTTGTAGGACTGCACCCCCTCTATGATCTTACCCTGGATGGAAACAGGGTTCAGCGGAGACTTATTCCTTCGAAGATAATGCAGCATCATCTTGTCTTTTTCACCCTTTATCTTGAAGGAAGTAAACCTGTATAAAACCTTCCGACAAGATCTCATTCTACCATAAAGTAAGTGGACATCAAAGCATAATCTGCTGATCGGAGGAGTTCATTACAGTCTCAGCACAACTCAGTGTTCCGACTGGAAAGAACCAAAACCAGTATTTCCCTAGCTGACCAGAAAGATGGTCGGCTACAACTTTTCCAGTTATCATAACAAGAAAGAGAAGGAGACAATGATCTTTTTATACCAAATAATTGTTTGGTAAAGAAAAAGTAATTGTTATTATTATCATGCCAGAGATGAGGCACTGCCTATGCTCATTCATTTAACAGTATTAAGTAGCTGATGAGGATGAAAGGACATCCATTGAGGGGCAACAGTGGGCTTTGGCATGTGTGTTTCAAACGTGATCCTGGAATGGTCAGTGTAATGTAGGTTAAATAAAGTTGTATTTGTAAAGGGCAGTCCTAAAGTAATTACTGAACCTAACATAAGACCTTTCCATGCTTCAGACCAGTTAATGAATGTGCGTCATTAAGTGAATGCAACAAAGTGTCAATGTTCTCAGCCAGGGTGGTAGTGCTGATGTGCATATGATTGTTAAAATACTCCAGCACCAGAATCATTGCTGAACTCAAAGGCATGTCCTACACTGCTAAAATTACTGAATCCTTTTAAAATTACACAGGGACCTGTCGCAAATATTCACAATTCTCAAAGCACTATTCATTGAACCTCTTCCACAGCCATGTTGTGATACATTGCGATACCTTGTCTTCTCATTCTTCCGAGAAAGCCACACTGCCGCCATCTGTGAGGACGTGGGGTAGAATCACCTTTAACACAGTTTTGTCTTCGGTGCAGACGAAGTCCTTTAGCCAGTCCAGAAGTGTTGATGTTTAAGGCAGGACCGTGCAAGGCATCGTAGTGCTGGGATATCAATGGCATGGTATCAAGTAAACAACTTGAATCCAACAGGACATCTGTGGGACCAGCTTCCTAATGCCATCACCAGGAGACTGGCTGCAGCTGCACAGGAAAAGTGCAAAACATCCCACAATTATATTTATCAAAGCAACCGGCATTGTATTTTTAATGTATTCATTTTGTCTTGCATCATAGCGCAAACGTACAGTATCATGTACTACCTATGTTTAAAATATTAGGTTAAATTCATTTAGCCTCAGGCTTGTCTCTTTTGTGCAGTAGTTTACCTTATTGTCACAGACCACTTAATGAAAGGGTAAAGGAAGGAATGCATCCAGTTGACGTGCTCTACTGTGCTCATCTGAGCTGCTGATATAAGTCTTCCACTCCGTTGAATCTGCATGATGTGCTCCTACCATGTCTGAAACATGAACATTTTCTGTCATCATTCCAAGGAACTTTTTACTCAGCTTCTTTTAGTACTTAAATCCAACTAGTTCCTCTTTGTAAACCCCAGCTTAGGTATCCTAATATATTTCTTCTGTCCTCTACAATATGTTTTCATCAAATGTACTGTATTTTTTCTCACTGATACAATTTTAAGTGTTCCAGTTTCCCCTATTTAATTTATAAAAACACTTTTCAACTTCATTACAGATAAGACATATAGAAGAGCTTTAACAGGCCTCATTGTCACTTGAGAAAAGAAAACGTTATTTCCTCAATCACTTTGGAGTTACCTCCTCATGAAAATCAAATGGTATCAAGAAATAATTACTGGAAGAATTACTTCAAATGATCTCCCTTACTTTTGACCCTGTCACCATACTCCTATCATCGCTGGGTGTACAAATATGAACTCAGCCTGCCATGTGCTGTCAGCAGATCCAGTTTTGCTGTGTCTCCTGCAAGAGAAAGTTCTGCTGCTGTCCATGGTCAAAGCAATTCAGCTGTAATCCCCCTTTCTCCTTCTCTCCTGGAGCTCCATTCATATTCTAATCACAGCTTTTCCTTCCCCAAAAAACAGCCACTTTATCACAGCCTTCACAGCCACAAGCTTTGCACTTTTGCCTCCCTTTTGTAGCACGAACAGTTTTTTCAGGCACACTACAATAAAGTTCCTATGAAAAAAAGTCTACTCTTGCCTTCTGTGATTAACCAATGGAAAATGATCACCAGAATTTCTGATTTCTGGAGTTATACTTGTTTCATTTATTTAAAGACCATTACAGACAGTCAGACATTTAAAAAACAGTAACTATCATGGGAGCACTTGTGTAATTTTTTTCAAAGGAGTTTACGAGGAAAATACAGCCCCTACTTTCGGGCAATACCTAGTAACGTCTGAACTATAGTGTTTGTTGGATAAAATCTGCCGCTATATAACACTACGAAACCCCTCAATCAAATTCCGTGTGTGGGAGTTTTACCGGGGAATAAATACTACCAAACATGAGTTTCTGGAACAATCAAAGTCAAACCAGCTCTTAAGCCAGAAAATGAGACCAACTCCAGAACTGTTGTGGTTGATTTTCATTAGGGCCCTATAATGAGTAAAGGAAGAGGTGTTGGTTTCTTGGGCTTTAAATAAGCAATGGTAGGAAAAAAAACGTATTAAATGCTATAATGGAAGACGGGGAGGCCAAAGTGCTAGGATTGCGTAGATCTAAGCCCCTCTTTTTCTGGGGAGGGAGCTTTTCTTATTCAAAACAGCATCACAATGGGCTTCACAGTGAGTCTTGCCACATCCCCATCTGACTAGCAGCCATTCATCAGACTGCCTGGCCTATCAATGACATTTCTCCCATCAGGACTCCTATAAAATGATGCTTTTTCCCATGAAACATCGGCAAACATTTTGACGGGTCTAGCTTTTCCTCTGCTGGATTACTGGAGTCCCCCAGTCTCTCAGATTTGTACATCACTGTAGAAAACAAAGACTTTTTTTGGGGAACTTGTATACTGTTGATGGGAAGAGCATGCATTGTGGGTTATTGGAGGAGCCTGACATGGAATCCACAGGTTTGTAAAGCATTACTGCGTTACATTTAAAGGATACTTGTGGTGGCTGTTAGAACAGCAAGCGGGATTTCTGCAGTCTTCAAGCTTCCACTGTTGAAGCTATACAATGTTTTTGCTCTGCTGTGCCTGTGTGCTTGATGCTTTTCCTCAGATATGTGAGAGAGCAGCTATTAGCTGTGGCAGGAAAGTTTCATACTAGGGGCAATTTCTAGGAGCAAACTAGGAGCACGTAATATTCGTTCTATGCCATGCAAAAAATAAAAATAAATAAACGTGACTGAACTGGAAAAGTATAATTTATTTGAACAAGGGTGTTAAGTAATTGGAATTGCTGTTTAGAAACTGGATGAAACCAGACATTGGTAGGCATTAGTTTTGCAGCTTCATAACTAGATGTAAAATTAAATACCTAAATACAATATAAGCAGATAAATGTTAGGTTTTGTGTACCCTAGCCATTCATCTCAATTTTGCATCTCAAGTCCGTGTGTGTGCTCTGCGCTCTTATTTGCAGAGCACCTGCCCCTGAAAAACTTACGCTGTTCCCAAACCTAGGAATGCGAAATCACACCAGAAGGTTTTAAAGGCAAAAGTTACAATATAGGTGTTTTCCGGGTTTTAAATAAATTAAGCGCGTAGCAGCTGAACAGCAACTAAATTTTCTTCACGGGTTTTAAGCCAACATCCGTTTGTCGGCCCTAAAACATTTACCTCGAAATCATTTGTGTGCGGTGTTCTTTTCAGATTGGTGAAACAGTAGCATAAAACAATTAAAACTAGGGCCTCTGGTAAATCACTTAATAATCTATATTTTTTAATGTAAACATTCATAAAAATTTAATGTCTTTGCTTGAGAAGCCTGTACTTTTAAAGGATCTGTTACATTGTGAATATTTAATGAAAGAAAAAAAAACTTTAATATTTACAGTTATTATCAATAATATTGATAATATTTCTAGCAATATTATACCCTACTACTAGATAATAACACTTTGAGCACGTTATTACATACATCGCAGTTATAGTTCTGTTAATTGTCTTGTTAGCGCACGGCTACATTTTTGTTGTGCTTTTTAATAATCTTATTTGGTATCGTTATATTCCAGCTCGAGACATATTCTGGCCAATTATTAATTAGGTTATTCTATAGTGGCAGCATGAACCATGAGTTGTAAAATAAATTCCCGTTTCACTTTGCAAATTTAATTGAATACAATTTAGATGCTCTAAATCAGCTCTTCGCTCTTAAATTATTTGGATCAAACACATTTTTTTAAATTTTATTAAACATGCGACAGTTTTACTTTTCCAGAGATTTGTACAATTCGAAACATATTTTATTAGGAATAACAATAATAATCACTCTGGACTTACAAAAGTTTTCTGCGAAAGGACTTGTTTGAGTGGATTAGCGGATATTCCTTACCGATATTATACATCGTCCATACAAATGTAAAATAATTTTTCTAATGGAGTTTTATTTTTCTTGTGTTTTTGTTCATGTCCTAGCAGCCTATGTATTTTAATTAAGTCGACGTAATGTTAAATAATTCGAAGTAAATTGTTCTAAACCTGATTTATTTCTTAATTTTGAGAACCGAAGCGGACACATAAGTTAAATCATACTCTTAGTTTTCGATTAAAATGTCATTTTCTTTTAGTTTTAACCTTTAAAGATTGTTTAAAAAGCAAACACCACATTGAACAAATGTTCTCATTTGTTACGTTGCTGTTAAAAAAGATAACTTAAAACTATTTGAAACAGTATATGAAAAGTACTTTAAATAATACAATGCAATATGTTTTAAAAATGTTAAAATTGCACTGATTTCCTCGTGGCTATAAATGCATTCTATCAAGTTGCTAGACGTACTTTCTATATTGTCTATATTACTTCAAATTATCCGTCGATTAAACAGGATTTGCAAATCCGGTGCAATTTTTTTTATGAAAGTAGAAATTCATATATATATATATTTCATTTACAGATGCAGATCACCGCAAAGAAAAAAGTTTATGCTATAAATACGGGAGAAATTACATGTACAAATGTCGATACAAAGTTAACCAGTTAACTCACGAACCGATGGAATACACCTGTTGATACTCAGTTTATAAAGTCAGCCGCTTAATGTAGTCCATAGCGTACATCACCTAGAAATGACTTATTAGTATATTTATTAGTATAATAATATAGTATTATTAGTATATTATTAGTAGCAGAGGTAAGACTATAGTAGTAGTAATATCAGAGTGGCAGCAGAGTACAAATAACGAGCAACGTTTAATCTGGTCGCAGTAATATTTCATAAAGGACCTGAGTCTCAAGCAACCTGAACTCTACTCAGCTATTCGCCAATTACATTTGTGATTATTTAAAAATTTCGCGAAATTCGCGATAAATGATACTGTACGCTCTTGCATCCATGGTTTAGAGACTCATTTAAAAAAAAATACCTGTCCAGTGGCATGGCGCAATCAGAGAGCAACTACCATGAAATAATTTCGGCTATTCAACAGTTGTCAAAAACACATTATAGTTGTAATTATCTTTACTTACGAGGGAAGAGCCTATTGAGGTACTGTACTGTATATACCATGGTTTTGAAAAAGTAACCATTAAAAATGATACAGATAACAAGTAGTGTTATTCTTCCCTCGTTTTTCGTCAGTCACTCCCTGAGGCTGGTCTATACAGTACATTAATGACCACAAAGGCTTTCCCAATCAAGTGCAAACTTTGCCATGAAGACAGTGAAACATGCCCCAAAACTTTGCTTTGGAACTTTCACCCCTTGTGATGTAACTGAAACAGGTTGTCATGCCAACTGCCATTCCCGGCAACTGCTGCTATAGTGACCGTTGTTACGGCCCGTGCGGGAAACACGGATCTACAAGAATAAGCAAAATATTATGAGTTGGTGATTCTGCCCCAGAAAGGACACCAGTTGTGCCATTTCGTAATAGAAATTAGAAGCCAACAAAAGGCGGCTGGGTCGCGGGGCTGGTCGAGCAATGAGAAAGAGCTCGATTCAGCATGTGTGCGCGCTTGTAAGTCTCCGGAAGAACAATAGAGGATTCCTGCAGTTTTAGGTGAAAACATTTTAAATAGAAACCCGGTTGAACAAAAGACCGTACCGTCAATTGTTCTTTAACTACCCCGTCGCAAAATCACCCCCCTTCTGGGGTGTGTGTGTGTGTGTCTATGGGGTTGACGAGTTAAGCCCCTCATGACGAAATGGAGGGGGCAGACTCAATGTATTTATTTTT